AGATTCTGTCTCTCTCTTTCTCTGTGTCTCTCACAAATAAATAAACTTAAAAAAGCTTTTTTTTAAATGAAAATGTTGTAGAAAGAAGGTAATCATTACCACTGTCTATTGAAATAAATCACAGCTCAGAAAGTGCCAGAGCTTGTAGAGACCTTAGAGATCATCTAACATAATTAACTCCTTTATTTCATACACCAAAAGCTAAAAAGAGCTAAGTCGCTCAAGGTCACTTACCAGAAAAGTCAAAACTTAAACCTAGGGGGCGCCTGGGTCGCTCAGTTGGTTGGGCATCCCACTTCGGTTCAGGTGATGATCTCACAGTCTGTGGATTTGAGCCCTGCGTTGGGCTCTGTGCTGACAGCTCAGAGCCTGGAGCTTGCTTCGGATCCTGCGTCTCCCTCTCTCTCTCTGTTCCTCCCCTGCTCATGCTCTGTCTCTCTCACTCTCTCAAAAATGAATAAACGTAAAAAAAAAAAAAAAAAAAGTCCAGAGGCCAAAGAGGATAGAAAGGAAACTTCAAGCAGTCCAGGTGGGCTGGTGGCTGAAGTGGGGTGGTGCCAAGGGATGACCTGTGTTCCCTGAACGCACAGCTCAAACACCCTCCCCCCCAAATAAACACAACACAGCAAGGACAGTGTGCCTTCACAATACAAGTTTCCTAGCCACACTCAATCATCAGCATATTTATTTAAAGGTCACACACAGTATAACTCAGGGAAGTGCAGCGAAGTGAAGGAGGGGCTGGTAGCCGCTGTGGCCCTCCCTGGTGAGGTCAGTTGTCCCATTTGTAAACTAAACAGTTGATCCTGCCCTAGATGATCCTTCAAGGTCGCTCTTGGCTCTGAGTTTAGGAAGGTTCCCATCATGCGTTCGCTACTAGAAGAGATCTGGAAACCTCCACAAGGCCAAGGTCCACCAACGACCCATCCTCCCCTGATCTCGTTCTCAATCATCATTTCATAAATGGCAAAATGGTCTAATTGCAACATTTCCTAACTCTCAGTTCATAAGGAATTTTGATTAGTAAGCGGCGGTCTAATGGATAGGAAATCAAAGCCTTTTCTCAGGCTCCTATAAAAGGACAAAAATGAGGAAATTTCATTTAGTAACAAGTTTTTGACTCAGTCCTCTCATCTGCGCTCCTAAAAGGAAAATTTATGAGACATGCGAAGTGAGGGGCGCCTGGGCGTCTCAGTTGGGAGAGCATGTGACTCTTGATCTCGGAGTTGTGAGTTCAAGCCCCACGTGGCATGTAGACGTTACGTAAATAAACTTTTTTTTTTAAAGAGAGAGATGCAAAGTGATGATAAAGATAAAAAGTACAAAGAATCGCTTAAAGCCCGCACAGAAATTTCACCAACAAATATCAATTTTAAGTCGGCTCTTTGAATCAGTCACAAATCTCACAAGGGGGTCGCCTGGGTTTCAGACTTCTCTGTGGTTCTTTAATCACGGCATCGTGGGAATCGGGATACCCGTGGCATTATATGTTAAGGTCCCAGAATTGCTGATTGTCTCAACAGCCCCTTCTTATTCAGGCCCTTCGATACAGGATAGATAGATACAGATATATATACAGACAGACAGACAAATGAGCTCCGAGGATCAATCACAGATCTCACAATGCGGGCACAGGAACTTTCGACTTCCCTATGCATCACCATCACTGAGGCCTCCTCCTGAAAGCAGGTCACTTCAGGGAAATCTCCTACTGAGATTTTAATTCACCTGGAGCTGCTAACTTCATAAGCCCTTGGGATAGTCTCAGGGGAGGTGGTTATGTGACTGACCACTTTCCAAAAAGCTGAATCTAATAGTTAGAAATAAGGGTAATGGTGCACAGGGGAGAAATCATCGAGGAATTAGAGCCCGGGGCTCAGGTGCCCTTCCTGGGCAGTATGTAAACAGAAGGGGAGAAGGGAAATAACTAACACCTGAGTCTGGATGGTGGCTTGCTTAGCCACTCATTTAATAAATATCCACTCATTTACTGTGCACCCATATGGATCAGGCACTGTGCTAGGCACTAGAATTACAGAAGGAAACAAATGAGGCTCTGCCCCTCATGCTGACACCCCCCACCCCCCTTGTAACTCGCCACACCTCCCTGTTGAGGTTCCTGCGGTTGCTAGGGAACCTGGGTGGCTCCAGTGGGCAAGGGTCAGACTCTTAGACTCTTAGTTTTCAGCTCAGGTCATGATCTCACAGTTCGTGAGACTGAGCCCTGCGTCGGGCTCTGACACTACAGAGCCTGCTTGGGATTCTCTGTCTCCCTCTCTTGGCCCCTCCTCTACTAGCGCTTTCTCTCTCTCCCAAAATAAATTTTTTTTTAATCATAAAAAACACTGAAAGTTTCTGCGGTTGTTCTGGCAGTCCCGCATGCCCAAATGATTCCACCGTAGGAGGGTTCTGGAACACTAGCAGCAGGAAGAACTAGAAAAGGGAAGGCACAGCTCTTTTGGTATTTCAAGACTAGCTCTCCCAAGAGATTCCGTAGCTGGAACTGAAGGTGCTCTGTCCTCAAGAAGCAGTACAGAGGGGCGCCTGGGTGGCTTAGTCGGTTGAGCGTCCGACTTTCGCTTAGGTCATGATCTTGCGGTTCGTGGGTTAGATCCCCGCGTCGGGCTCTGTGCTGACTGCCAGCTCAGAGCCTGGAGCCTACTTCGGATTCTGTGTCTCCCTCTCTCTCTGACCCTCCCCTGCTCACGCTGTCTCTCTCTCTCCTAGAAATAAATTAAAAAAAAAAAAGAAGCAGTACAGAACATGCACTGGAGATCCCTCCGACCTGGTGTGGGCTGGCATGAGTGAGCAAAGGCTTCCCAGAGAAAGCCCTGTCGGGGTAGACATCCGCACAACCCTGATTAACCAAAGGGCAATGTCCCCATAAGAACATGCTACGGGGAGAGGCTCCTGGGTGGCTCAGTCATTCGGGCTCTGGATTTCCGCTCACGTTTTCATCTCGCAGCCTCGAGATCAAGCCCCTCATTGGGCTCCATGCTGAGCATGGAGCTTAATTAGGATTCTTTCTCTCCCTCTCTCTCTCCTTCAAAAAAAATAAATAATAAACGTGTTTCTTTTTTTTTTAAAGAACACCCTACAGGCTACCACATGCTATCCCTGCTCCATTGTCTCCCTGCTGGACATCCAAGTGCGCTGCCATCTTCCTAAGGGGGTGGCATCACCCCCCTGCCCTCGGATAGAATCTAAAGTCCTGGGCCAGGCATTTGAGACCCTTGGCTAGCCTTCGGCCCCCGCCTCCCCTACCTACCTCTTACGACACCCCCCCCCCCATACACTTTCCTGCTTTCCTCCTTCTCACACTGTTATGTATGCTTCCCGTCGGTATCCCCTGTGCCCTTTCTACCCATTTTTCTGGGCCCGGTTCAAATGCTACTTCTTCCAGAAGCCATGCCTCTCTTGGCAAGGAGGGTCTTTGTCCCCTGAATTCTCATGCACGGTCCTTAGGTGCTTTTCCTACAAGTAGAAGTGCTTTTTGGACCACATTAATTTACCTTCCAAGTTAGGATGTGCCCCTTGAGGACAAAGATTGTTTTTATGCTTTGTTTGTTTTTACCTCCCTTCTCAGGGCCTAGTACGGTGCCTTAAGTACTGGTGGAGGGCCTCAATGGCAAGCTCTTATTATATCAGGGAACTCACTTTATTTTATTGTATTATTTTAATGCATTCGTTTGCTTCCAAATCTACCGCAAAGGCCACGCTAATGAAGCAGAAACAACCTTCTGATGTGAACCTAAAGGCAAGCTATTACTCATCTATAGGCAATATTTTATATGGGGGCTTGGGGACAGCCTGGGGGAGAGATGTACGTTTTAATGGTCTCCCACCCTGTCCGTCCATAACCTCACTGCCGCCTCCTCCACCCCTACTCAGAACCTCACTGGCCCTTTAGGGATCCCTAGGACTTTCATTTCCAAATCTCTTCCATTTGTATCCCCCTCCCTGTATTTTTCTCAAGCCCAGGGAGGTAGGTCTTCCAGGACTCGAGCTGTAAGGAGTACCCCTCAGGCAATTTCAGGAACCTAATATGCAGGGTGAAGATCCTGGGTACTCCGGAGCTAAACACACTTGGGATACAACAGCTGGGATATTCAGACAACTCTCAACTATTCGAACATTAGCTTCCTGTTCAAACAGAGATTCTACTTTCTGACTTCTAGGTTAGTGTTTTCCTGTTTTTTTCCTAAAATATAGTGGGTTTGAACGTTTTACTGACTTTTATTTATAGAGAAGGGAGAACATTTACTGGGTCCCTTTAGGTGTCAAACACCGTGCTAGATACTTAAAATACGGATATCATCTTATCCTCGGGACTACCTCAGGAGCAGTTCCATTTCACAGATGGAAAATTGAGGTCAACGGACATGAAGCGATTTGCCCAAAACCATGCAGTGAAGTTGTGGGGCTGGGATTCTACCGTTGATCCTTTTAATACAAAGCTCGCGCTCTTTTACTTGGGTCATGCTATATCCTCATACAGAACCCAGGCCAGCTGGACTATTCCGTCTTCCAATTCAAAACAGAGATCACCAAAGAGTTGTAAGCACAGAAAAGGAGCACCCCTGGGCCACTCGGAAGGCCATCTTTGATCTCAGGATCTCAACTGTCCGCCTGATTTTCCTAAAGAGCACTGCACTGACTCAATATCAAGTATTATTATCTGCTGATCCTTACAGGACCCCTCTGTACCGTCACACAATCACCAAAAGAAGCAGCTACTTCTTTAAGAAATAAAGCACCTTGCGGCCTAATATGTATTACTTGGACGCTCTGTACAAATTATGTGCATAGTAAAGTGGAGCAAAAACAGAAAGCTGCAGATTTCACCAAGATGCCAAGTTTTACGTTTGGATAACACGTCATCGAACTGGCAAGTACGGTTACAGCAAAGAACCTAATAATAACGGATAAAAGTATCCTATAACCAAGTAAACACCTGTTAGTCCTTCCCCTTTTAAGAATTTTAAATAAGGTCACATCTATTCATTCAACAAACATTTATTGAGCTCCAGCAACTGTGCTGGGTGCTAAGGAATATCACTGTGAACAAGATAAACCAGGCTCCCGCTCTGACCGGGTAGTCTTCTGATCTTGCTAACTACTACATAATACTTCTTCTCTGCTAGAATTATATTCTTGGCAAAGCCAGAGCCATCCAAGGCCTCTGGGAGAGTACTTTAAAAGTTTCTTAGGGCAAACTTGGCAGAAATCTCTGTTGAACTTGGAGAAGAAAGAGACAGTCTTGAGTGTCCTTTCGACGAGCACGCTGAAGGTCCAGTTAACGGTCAAGTAAGATGGCGGCTGGTGGCCAACGACGCGGCTCAGAACAGTCGGTTGCGCTTGTGGCTCGGGGAGTCTGTGACACCGTCGCCGCACTGGGCCGAGGGGCGCTTGCGGGTCCCCCCGCCGTCCAGGCGGAGGGCCAGTTCTTCGGAGTTGGAGGGGTTCGGGTCGTCCTCCAGCAGGCCACTTTTCCGGCGCCCGCCGCCGGCCACGCCGCCGGTGACACCACTGGCCTGGGACGGGGAGCCGGGCGCGCCGGGCTTCACGCTGATGCTCGCCATGGCACCGCTGAGGCCGTGCAGGGCGATGGCCTCGTGGAAAGGCTGCAGGTCGACCTCGACGGCCGAGCCGGCGTCGGCGGCCGCGGCCTGGCCGGCGGCCGAGGCGGGCGGCTTCGGGGGCGTCCTGGGGGCCCGCGGCGGGGGCGGGGGCGGGGCGGGGGGCACTTTGCCGCACAGAAAGCTGATGAGGTCCTCGCGTTGGATGGTGCTCCGGCCATTCTTCACCCACTCCAGCACGTCTTTGATGCGACGCTGGCAGCCAACCTGGACGCCCAGGTCAAAACTTCGCTGGTGGGCATCCCCGCTCTCTTTGTAGAGGCTGGTCACGGCCATGGCCGCGTTCTGGAAGGGGTCCCACATGGACAGTCCTGCCTGCTGGCAGCCGGGATCCTTGTAGAGCTGGGCCACGGCGGTGGCGGAGATCTGGAAGAGGTGCCACAGCCTCTGCTGCTCGCTCTTCAGCCCCGCTGCCTCCGCGGCCGCCTCGTCCTCCACCTCCGGGCGAAGCTGCTCGTCCTGCTCGGCCTCGGCGACCTCGGCCTCGCCCTCCTTCGGCGGCTCCTCCATCCTCCTCCTCCTTCTGTCCGCTCTGCTCCTCCTCCGCCGCCGCCGCCGCCGCCGCCGCCGCCTCACCTCCGCTGCGAGCCGCCCTCCTCCTCCTCCTCCTGCGGCCGCCGCCGCCGCCGCCTCCTCCGCGTGCGCCGGCGGGCGGTCGCGCGGGCGGCGGGGCCCCGAGGCCAACTGTTCCGGCGCGCGCCGCCCGCGGCCCCGTGCACGCCCCGCCCCGCCCCGCCCCGCTCGGCCCGGCCCCGGGCTACGCCGCCGAGAGAACTCCGCAGCCGCCGGCGCCGCCTTGCTGCCCCCTTCCGGCCCCGCGAGCCGCTCCTAGTGCCCCCCCCCACCCCCCAAGGCGCCGCGGCCGGGGCGGCAACAAGACCGGGCCCAGCTTGTGGGCTGAGCTGAAGACTCCCCAGGATGGCTCTCTCTTTGTCTCCCCACTACTCGCCCCCCAAGGCGCCGCGGCCTCGCCGCCGCCGCCGCCGCCGCGGCCCCGCGTCCCCGAGGCCCGGTCCCAGCCCCCGCTCCGCCGCGGCCTCCGCCCCGAGACCTCGGAGGGGGACCGGCCGCGGCGCTGCTGCCGCGCCGCGCCTGCCTACCACTTGGCCCTCTTTTCACACATTTTAGAGACTTGTCGGCATCGTCCAATGAGCTGATCAAATTTTACATCCTATGTTGCCAGAGAGGATTATGGGGCAACTTCATGGTGTCGATCACATCCAGGGCGCCGATCCGGGAAGGCCGGGGGGTGGGGGGGTAGAGTGGAAAGAGCACGCCCCCCTCCCCCCCTCCCGGCAAACAATGCCCTCGACCCCGTAGGTACCCAAGAACGGTGTTTTTCCGTGGGCCGCCGCGGTATTTTGTAGAGGGAAATACGGAGATCATAATCCGCCCTCCCCCACCCCACCCCCCCGCCTCGCTTCCTCGGCCTCAGTTTCCCCAAGGGCCAAATGAGGCGGTCGGATTAGGTCTCTCTGGAAAGCCCTTACGACCGTGATTTAGAACTTTCCCGCTGGCGCTGGAAAGCACCTCTTCCGGGCTGCTTGCACACTTATCAGATTCTAAGAGTCACGTCAGAAATGGTAATGACTGTTCTCCCTGCGTATTCTTGCAAGGTCTTTGGTCGTTAAAAAAAAAAAATGCGTTGGGGGTTTTCTGTGGTCTCGTTTCAACTACTGAGAATTCCAAGATGAAGAACTCAGGGGAGAGAAAAAATAGGAAAATGAAATCCCAAACACCCGCTAGTGTAAAATTCAATACCTTTTAGGAAAGCAAGCAAGCAAGCAAGCAAGAGAACAAAAAAGGCTCGTCGAATTCAACACCCATATAGCTAGGTAAACCATCTAATAATAATACCAAAATTAAGCTACACCTCCGATACTACGGTCTCTTCTCTGGGTTCAATAATAACCCTCCTATAATGCTGCAGTTCTTTTTCAGTGCAGACAACTGCAGAGCAAACTGTGTTCACAGAAGAAAAATTATCACTGAGCTAAGAATAACATCAAAAATGGGAGAAACTAGCATGTAGTAGTTCTTTACATTTAAGAAAAAAGTTGGAATTTCCCAGTTTCTGTTGGGGACAATATTTGCCGGGTCTCCGTAAAGCCTTACAAACATAAAGGAGGCTAAATCTTCTAGCAAAATATGTTTCATGATTCCCAAATATGGAAATGAGTATATAAAATAAAATGATCTAATCATTAAGCTTTATCATCTTCCTTAAAAGAAATACATGTTTCTAAGTTAACTATAAAAGGGAAGAAGAAGAAGAAGAGGGGATTGTGTTCTTTCTCTGCAAACCAGGCTTTTTCACGATTCATTAAACCCTTTTTCCATATGTGTAATTGGACTCTTCTCATTTACATAAACGAGGGATGAGGCAAAAGACCCAAGATCAGCCCAAAAGCAGAAATACATTTCTCATTCTCGAGTGTTAAAAAGAAAATACAGTGTAGAAAACTCCAAGAAGGCAGATTTCCCCCTCCTCCCATACACACCCACATATACCGGCCCTGAAAGAGTTCATGGCCAAGGAGATAGTGAGTTTGCCAGAGGTCTGGGGGTTGCTTTGCACACGGCGCCTCATGGTTATCATCAGGGGTACGTGTTTTTATTTTAGGTTCTCGCAGTGAAAAAGCCTAGACTGAAACGACTGACAGTAGGACACCATATCCTATTTTCTCCCCTCATTTTTGATTGGGTTAAAAAACCAAGAAGAAAGACCGCGCTGTCTTTGAAAGAGCACAAGCCTCTGCTTGGGGCTTGAGTTGTCTGGCTGGTGTCCTCCATTCAGTTGGTCTCAGCACCTGATTAATTAGTTAATTAGTACTTAGAGCTGACTAGCCCCAGTCGGCATGGTGAAATGTTGAAGCCAGCATTGAAATTTCTGTGTCGCACACCCTCATTACTATCACCCCACCACTTTTTAAACCATTGCACCAAATTATTATAATAGAGCCAGACAACTGTGTGGGAATATGTTCTTTCTGAGAAATAATGGTAGACTTCTAATATTTTTCACTATTGCCCTTAACACATTTAAATAAAACAATGAATGGGGAAAATTCTAATTCAATTAGCCTCCAGCTCCTTCCATAGAGAAAATGACTGTACGGGAGAGGTGTCAGAGAAATCACACCAAAAATTTTTCATGATTTATCATTTCTCGCAGGTGGCAAAGAGTACGTTTCTGAGCTATCCTCTCAGATTAATTTTGGGTCCCATAAAAGTCTAAAATGTCAGGAGTAAAAACGCAGAATAGAGAATAGAAACAAAACCAAAATACCCTACGATTATTTTACGTAGCTGTCAGGAAATGATGTTATCTGTGTGCGTTTGGGGGAAAGGGGGGCTTTTGATGTTTAAAAATACTGACATGGTTTAGGAATGAGTTTTCTCTGGGAAACTCATTCTAAGGAAAAAATACTCCTTGGCCGCTGCCCTATTCTTCCATAAATTAGATGTCATAGATAAGGTTTAACATCAACCAGGGGGAAATAGTTTCGGAAAATAAGTCAGGACACAAACCTAGCAGAGTCTAATTTTGGGCGTTTCTCAGTGTCTGGTTCCCAAAAAGGGCCCTGGTGTGCCAATGATTTTCAGTATTATCGGTAGCTATTTTCACCTGAAACAGCCCTTATAGATCAGTAGTGGGCTGCCAGTAATTGTCAGAGCTAAATGGTACACAAAACTGGATACACAACCACACAGATCAGTAAATGGGTCGGACTGAAAGCAAAAGTAAACACCAACCTTAGGAAATGAAAGAAGTTAAAAGATAAGTGTTAAGGACCTTATTCTTTTTGGAGAATAAAACAAGATTTAGTAGCTTTCCACTTAATTTAAATGAAAAGAATCACTACCTTACATATTGCAGTGATAATGTAATGGGGAAAGAAAACAAAAAAGTCTTTGTACAAATGACACCTCCTATAGTTCTTGTGAAGAAACTTTTCCCCTTGGTATCTGCTAACAAATTCTAATTAATGCTGCACATTCCTTTACTGAAATCATTTAATGCGTAACAAGGGGGGTAAAAAGGAATGCTGAATGCTCGTGATTGCCCTGTTAGAATTATGGGAGTGAAAGCCTGGGGCCCCAAACTTACTGTCTATTAAAGCCAAGCTTTGAAAAAGAAATGCAACCTACAAAAGCTGTCAATCTCCCTTGCCCCTAAAGCCTGGGTTCACATGGATTCAAGTGACAGCCCTCCTCCCCCATGCACAATACATCAATCTGTCTCTCCCACAAGCACCCACAGCCCATTGTGCTGGCCGCAGGTGCCTATTATAGCACCCAGGGCTGCCTCCTTCAGCTCCGCCCCTGAGAAACAGGAACTGCAGACAATGGAGTCCTGTGGGAAGGCAGAGGTGGGTGTTGGGAGGGATATAACAGACAGATGGTAAAGGGTATAGGGTAGTAAGGTAGTTTTCAAAACAAATGTCAAACATACAGAATTATTGCCTCCTCGTGTCTCCCCTTTTGAATCGCCTCTGCTTCAATCACCATCTGCCATAATTATAAAAACACTTACCTGTTAGGACGAATTTCTGCTCCGCTTTTTGGGTTGGCTAGCGGCGGACGAGATGACCTTCAACACTCTAGTCCTCCTATTTAGCCTCTAAGTTTCTCAAGGTCACAGGCTGAGGGGTTTTAGTAAAGCCACACCAGCAGACCATATAGGGGCAAAGAAGGCGTTTTTCTAAAAGTGTTTGCAAGGTTTGTGATTTCCCTTTTTAGCTTCTTAGTCTTGGGCCCCTTGAGGGGAGTGGGGCATGAAAACTGGTGACTTTGGGTAATATATTTATGAAAGCAAATACTCTAAGACATTACAAATGTCATATCAGGCAGGTGGAATTCCTTAGGCCGTTTCTTTTCTGGAAAGGAGCCACATAGAGAGAGACAAGATGCATTTAATAATAAAAGTACCGAAGGTTTCTCACTCAGCCTTTTTTACCTATTTCCAAACATGTCAACAAAAATAAGTTAAACTGTAAAAAAAAAAAAAATCACTAGATATTATTCACATCGAGTGCCCTTATCCGAAAAAGTATATTTTAGGCGATTCGTTTCGTAAAAATGTCACTTGCCTGTGGGGTTTTTAACCTCCGCAGTCAGGAACTAATGAAGAAGTAATAAATGGAAGAAGTAAGTAAATATGCCCCCAACACATGTCCTAGTTCAAGTAAATCTGACTTAGATGCTCTTGTTCTTGTTCCGTCATCTCCATATACCACCTCATTCCTGTTTCCAAGAGAATCTGTCAGAAAGTAAAAGCACGCTGACACTAATTTCCTCACTACTACTACTGCTACCTGTCTGCAACAACAAAACCACCAATAGAAAATCTGGCACAACTAACTGTGAGTCATGGTCAAGAGGCTCGGTGACTTGTTGGGATGAGGGTACCGCGAAAATAATGCCAGGCACTGCAAGTAGCCAGTTTTCCTGAAGCAAACAAGAGGATCTTTGGTTGACTGTCAAAAACGACAAACGAAGCTTTAACT